TCTGGACTTGACTTTCGTATCTAAAGTAAAAAATCAAGATGATATCTACTTCACAAAGATGTGAATTTTATTTTTTTATCCTCACCTGAGGACATTTTTTTCCATTTTTTTTGTTCAGATAGAGTGGGAGGGAGAGAGAGAGAGAGAGAAACATTGACATGAAAGGGACACATCGAGTGGCTGCCACCCACATGACCAACCAGGGCCGGGGACAAACTGCAACCGAGGTACATGCCCTTAGCGGGAACCGAACCTGGGTCTCTCTGGACTGCAGGCCGACACTCTAACCGCTGAGCCAAACCGGCGAGGGCAAAGATGTGAATTTTAAATGAGATAATTTAGATGGAAAGCATTATGGGTATATATACGCATCCCAATTTAGCCAGAGCCATGGGCTAAATTTGGTAATAAGACAATAGGGATTATCCTAAAGTACAGTTGGGTCTGTATAACCAACTGCATGAACACAGAACAGGAGAAGGTATCTTAGCAGCAACATATCTAAAAAGATTGAGGGTTTACCTCCAGCAAGCTCAATATAAATCAATAATATGGTGTGAGTATTATCTAACCACATTCATTAATTATCGACTGGTTAGCAACCATGTAATGGAAGTTTTAAATTCTTTTAACAAATATCCGAAACAGAATTTCCCAAATTGAGTTCTGCAGAGAACCACTTGATGTTACTAGTTATTATATGGCAGGGATGGAGCTGGTTTGGGGAATGACTAGTTAGATAATTGAATATGGAGAATTTCTGTGGTCTTGCGTTATTGTGAATTATGGATGTCCAAGAGAGGACTCAAGTTGACAGTGCTTTGGCAACAGATGGAACAGGGCTGCTGGTAGTTATACTTGTTTCTGGACCCATCAGACTGCACCTGGACCATTCTGCCAGCATGGGCACTGCCCTTTGTCCAGTGTAGACCACAGGGCCAGTATGCACAGGAGAGCAGCCAGGATGCGGAGTGAAGTGTGATGATACTTCACAAAGGAGTTTGGGCTGTCTAGCCTAGGGTGTGGGTGATGCTTAGGTAGGGTAGAAGTGAGGGTGATTGGGTGAGTGTGAGGGAGATTGAAAAATATCTAAAGTGGGGGAAAGGGATTTGACTGTTTTGTCAAGGGGCAGAATGAGAACCAGTGGGTAAAAGTGACTGGGAAACATTTTTGGACACAATCCAAAGTTAAATTTTCTTTGAAGATGGCTGTATTTTACATGCTGACTCTGTGTTCCTGGAAGGCATAGTTTTTGGGTGGTGTAAAAGCATTTGATGGTTTTGAGAAGAGCTTTCTTTAAAATCCCATCTAATTCCAAGTCTGTAAATTTGTGATTTTTTCCTTTGTTTTGCAAAATTTATTTCCTCAGCTTTTTCTTTTTTCAGCGTAGTGCTGCTTCCTGTGGATAATTAGAAAAAGCATTAATAAGATGTGGTTTGTTTAAGTTTGTTAGTTGAATGACAAGATTGACATATTAAACAGTTGTTATAAACCAAGACAAAATATAAACAGAAGGCTCATTTCTAATAATCTGTAACAGTACCACAGAGATTTGAGAAGGGAGAGAGAGGCTGGAGAAGTATATGCACCGGGGTTTGAAGATTTAATAGGTTTGCATGGCAGAAAGACCAGAAGCCCTGAAGGTCAGCAGAAGCCCAGGGATGCAGGCAAGAGGCATAGAAGGCTTTCGAGCAGTAGCAGTGTGGATAAATCTGTAATTAAGAAAGATCCATCTGGCAGCTTTGTGTAAGAGATAAAGATTTGAGAGCTATCCCCTTACGAGTAATTATTTTAAACCATCAGGGTGCTTGAAATCTTTGAGGAGATTGTAGAACATGGATAAGCAAGGTCTTAAGCTTAGTGGTTAGAGCAAAAGTACACCTGGTTCGAGTCCATTTCGCTGTTGACCTATGTGGAGAAACTGAAGCCTAGAAATTGACTGTAAATTGGATCGTTTAATTTCCTCTTAAGATAATTATGAGGATTAAGTGAGATAAAGAATTATGTAATTAATTGCTCAGTAAATGTTACTATAAGGTAGCTGAAGTTCCCTAGGCCTGGATCTAGAAATGTGGTCCGCAGACCAACCACACTGACCACCTGTAAAAAGCTGTACAGGGGAGGCAGGGCGAAGTTTGAGAACTGCCTCAGAGTGGTTCTGTAGTTGGGACCCTAGAACTAAGAAAGGGGGATAATTTAAAAAAGGGGCTTAACTATAGGGTCCTTTGCAGAGAAGATTGTGAAATTTGTGAGGAAGGAGGTAGTATATTTTTTGCAGTGCCTCACAGCTTTATATGTAATATTCAATGAATACTTGTCTGTATGTTATTTTTATTATTATTTTTTATCCTCACCCGAGGACATTTTTCCATTTTTTGTTCAGGGAGGGGGGGGGAGAGAGAGAGAGAGAAACATCGACGTGAAAGGGACACATCGAGTGGCTGCCACCTGCACAACCCAACCAGGGCCGGGGACAAACTGCAAACGAGGTACATGCCCTTAGCAGGAACCGAACCCAGGTCTCTCTGGACCGCAGGCTGACGCTCTAACCGCTGAGCCAAACTGGCCAGGGCGCTTCTTCTGTTTATTATTTTTTGGCTTGGGACATTCCTTAGAGATGATCTGAAATTTTTTTGAAGATTTTGTGTCTCTGTTAATGTGGGCCACCTGGGGTTTTCAATATCGAGAGCTGTGCCAGTTGAGGGTCCCAGCCTCCACCCCCATCACCAGCACAAGCACCCAAATACAATAGCTGGAAATAAAGTAAATCGACTTTTAAATTCCATTCATTTGGTTATTTACTGTGCATTATGTACAGGACACTGTGATAATAATGATGAAACTGTGTCAACAAAAGATGTCTCGTGGAAGAGCCAGGACAGCCGAAGGCCGTGCATATTGAGTCTGGAGCAGTGGCTCAAGCTCTCCATTGAGTACCTGCCTGAGGCCTGGTGGGAGGTTAGCCAAGTGTTCGGAGGATCCTAGCACACACGAGAGTTTAGGTTTGTGAATGTGCCACCCTCCGAGACACCCCTTTCACAGTGGTGAAGGGAAAGCGAGTAAATTAGATTGGTTAGCTAGGACGCTGTTTTAAACCTTACAGTTTCCTGGCATGGTATTTGAGGTCGTAAGTGGAACACAGGAATTGTGTTCACTTCTTTTTGTGATCTCTGTTTCATATCACAGAGAGACTTAAAGAGCCCTGGCCAGTTGGGCTCACCAGTTAGAGCCTTGGCCCGCGGACCAGTGAGTTGCGGGTTTGATTCTGGTCAAGGTCACGTACCGTGGTGATGGTTAGTCCCCGGCCTTGGTCGGGGTTGTGCAGGAGGCAGCCATTCGATGTGTCCCTCTCACATTGATGTCGTCCCCCCACCCTGCCCCACTCTGTCTGAGGAAAAATGGAAAAAATATCCTCAAGTGAAGATTCAAAAAAGAAAAGACTTAAAGAAAACCCAGTGGAGCTCACTTTCCAAAAGATAATGAGTGGGTAGCTAATCTGAATAATCATTTGTTAATATGTTTTTTGTTTGTTTGTTTTTATTGCCTTTTTTTTTTTTGGTACCGGCCCCTATCAAAAACTGAACCCGGGACTCTCTGGTCCGCAGGCTGACGCTCCAACTGCTGAGCCAAACCGGCCAGGGTGTGTTTCGTGTTTTGTTTTCTTTGGTTCTGTTTTTATTAAGACATAATTGACATATAGCATATTACTTTTCATACAGTATCACGCATTGATATTTGTACTTACTGCAAAGCGAATATGTTTCGATCGACACTTGAACTTATCCCCTCTGCTTTTTCCCCATTGCTTCGGACTTTGGGACTGAGGTGGGTGGGTAGTGAGTACTGCTTACATTCTAACTTTTTCTCTCCAAATACCGTAAAGAAAAGTACCTGGAGTCTCACTCCACCCCTTTTAAAAAGTTTCTAAGACCAGACCTAGATCCGAGTGTTTCTTTAAACAGAGCAGCCAGTGGTTTCCATTCTCTGCATATAGCCATCGAGTGTTGAGAAGGTGAATTAAAGAGACCAGGGAGCTTTTTTAATTTTATATTTTAAAATATGTTTTAGAGGGAGATAGAAACATTGATGTGAGAAACATCCATTGGCTACCTCCAGCAAGCCTCCTACTGGGGATCAAGCCCACAACCCGGGCATGTGCCCTGACTGGGAATCGAACCTGGGCCTCTCAGTCCATGGGACGACACTCAATCCACTGAGCCACACTGGCCAGGCCCGAGAGCTTTTTTTAAAACATGCTTTTATTTACACTTTACAGAAGTTTGAGAAACATTATATTGTCCACAGAAAGACAAAGAATAATAATTGTATAAAATTATGTTAGTGTTGGTAATAAAATCATTATTATTACCGTTCTTCATCAATTCTTAGACACACATTATTCTCACATTTTAATATCCCTAAAATCAGAATGTGTACATAATCAATGGGATCATATCATCTCTGGGCCTGAACTGAAGTTGAATTTTTCTTTCTTTTTATTGTTTATTACAAATGTCCCTATTTTCCCTCCCCACTTTGTCCCTTCCACCCAGCCCCTGCCCCCCTTCCCTCTGGCCATCACCAACTGTTGTCTGTGGGTTATACATATATGTGAGATCAGAGATCTTTTAAAAAATATTTTAATTGATCCATAAATGTCTTTCTGATTGTTACCTTGCTAGAATGCAGATTGGATATTTTAAGACCTGGTGAAATATAATTTTTTAAATGTATGGTTTTTCTGAAACTGCTGAATATTGACAGAAATTTCCCCAAGTCCTGCTAGCTACACAAAGAATGTTGGTGTCCTGAAAACACTGAACCCAATATGGAAAACAGAGTTATGGCATTTGTAGGGTCTTAGAGCTAAAAGAGGTTCAAAAGAAGTAAAGAAACCCAAAGTTATGTGTGTTTTTTTGTTTTGTTTTATTAGTTGCTTTTGAATTCACCTCTTTTTCCCCCTTCTTCTTTTTCTGCAGTGAACACCTACCTCTTCATGATGCAAGCTCAAGGCATTCTGATCCGGGACAACATGAGGACAATAGGCGCTCAGGTTTACGAGCAGGTGGTTCGGAGTGCTTACGCCAAGAGGAATAGCAGCGTAAATGACTCAGGTATGTTTTTAGTAAAGAAGTGGTCTGCTTAGAATGTCTCCTCCCGAGAGAGGGAAATTTGGTTCAAATAATTATTTTGTTGGGATGAAGGGCATTGTAAAAGCGGGAAGATTTGGCTGAGTCTTACCTTATTACTAAAAAGAAGCTCTTACAAAATGAATCCATGTTTGTTTTGCTAATGGTATGTTAAGCATGACTAAATGACTCCATTTTTGCTGCTCCTAATACATACCAGGGATGGGGAGGTAAGGAGTATCTTTTAAGACCCCTTTTTTTTCAGTGTAGTTGCCTCCAATAGGCAGATTAAGCACAGAGTAGGTTCCCAGCAAAACAGGAGCATCAGAGCTATTTCTGGAAGTAATTTCAAAAAATGTATCCATACTGCCAGTGAGGAAAAACAGAACTTGGTTGGACTTCCTGATACTTATTTTATGGCTTCACATTGTGGGAATTGTTTTTGTTTTTCGAGTTACACATGGTGATGACGGTGTTTCATATTGTTTTCCAAGCTAACCTAGCCTGGTTGTCACACAGGAAGAGTTGCTCCAGCTCTGCTCTTCCTATTGGATTTTACGTGAATGTGCTCCACCCAGGAGAACTCATTGTCCACGAATGCTTATTGACAAGTTGTCATTTCATAATAATGCCATCCGGGATAGTTTCCACAAATTAAAAAAGCACCTTCTGGAAGAAGTTTACTAGGTATGGTTGTCATCCTCTGCTTTAATTCCAGCTCCATGGCTGAGTCTGTGGTCAGATTCATTCAGCCTTGAAGAAAGCTATTCAGACCATTCAGCTAAACATTGCAGTGGTGGACATGAGTGAACATTTCTGCCTCAATCTTTGGTACTTTTACCTGTGGCTTTTATTATCTTATAAGCACTAATTATATAGAGAGGAGAAAAGGACACAGGTTAGGTGGCTTGCCTAAATGTATTTTAAGAACTTGTTCTTGAGTCATGGTTTTGACTATTTTTATAAAAGACTATATATATAGGCAGTTCTTTACCTTTGAGAGAAAGCTGTCTTTTTTATGTCTCTCTTTTTAACTCTTCCAAAACTTGAACAAAGGAAGTATTTCCAGATGGTTAAATGGGACTGTCGTGAGGCTTGTCCAGTCTAGCTAGGGATGATTTTCATTTTAAAAATAGATTCTGAGATTTCTTCTGTTAAGCATTCATGATTTGCCTCTTATTTCTCTAACCGAGGACTAATGTGCTTTCCGATGGCTTCCTACTGCTTTCACTCAAGCCCACTATTATAAAATATGTGTATTTAAACAATAGTCTTTCATTCAGATCAGTCCTTCCTTCCGTCGTAAGTTCTAAGATAGTTTGCATCTCACTGTAGAATATGAAATTGGCTTTACAGACATTCCAAATAAGAATTATTCTGTGTGCTTGGGTCTCAAGAGAAAGCATTGCCTCTCGAAGGGAAGGTAAATTTTTAAAGTTGAACACATTCTAATTTATCAGTCTGTCCTGCTGGTCAGCTTAGCAGCACGAAAGGACTGTAGTTAGCAAACCAGATAAGCTTTGGCACTTTTTGTCTGCAGAGAGCATGTGATCGACTTTTCAGGGCTTTTTAGCCGAACTGTGGTCTCAGGACAAATTGCCTGAGCTCTGAAGCATACCTGGAAAAGGACTCCCTGCGGTTTCCAAAGTTATGGGCGAAGGCTGAATACGATTTTGTTCCCTGATTCATTGTGTATGGCATTAGGCTTTGCAAATGATCCTACACACTTTGTCTGATTTCACTAGAATATGGCCCAGTCAGATGGGCAGGATTTTATGTTACTTCCATTTTTTACATGTAGTACAAATCATCTTGGGGGTATTCAAGTGCCTTGCCCTAAACCCTGCCCAGACCTGCTTTAGGTTGTATGGTGAAACTAGGGAGGCCTTTGCCATTCCAGAGTTCTTTGCCTTTCTTTACTCTGGATAAAGGAATATTTGTGCTGTTGTGACATTTATTCAGTCCAAGTTATCATGCCACCCCAAGGTTAGATGATGTTAAGACTTCTTTTTTTTTTTATCCTCATCCGAGGACACTTTTCCATTCTTTGTACAGACAGAGTGAGAGGGAGAGAGAGGAAGAGAGAGAGAGAGGGAAACATTGATGTGAAAGGGACACATCGAGTGGCTGCCACCCACACGACCAACCAGGGCCGGGGACAAACTGCAACCGAGGTACATGCCCTTAGCGGGAACCGAACCCGGGTCTCTCCGGACTGCAGGTGGACACTCTAACCGCTGAGCCAAACCGGCCAGGGCGATGTTAGGACTTCTTTCTGGGCATTTGGCAAGGTAGTCTGTTCTCTTTGAGAAGTTAGAGGGGGCACGTAGCAGGACTCTATCCCTACACCATTGCTGGTCTTAAACACTGGATCTCACTCATTTCTTGAGTGGTTGTTGTCCTTGAAAACTGAGCGAGGAAGTGAGTTGCAACCATGGAAGGCATATTCAGGGACTCATTATTATTTGATTTTACATGTATTTTTCATATTATCATGCACCAAAATAATTCTCTGCACCATCCTTCTGGTTGCAGTAGTTAATCATCCATTTCTTATTTAATGTGTTGCTATTTCCCTTACAAATTGGAATTCTTTGCTGTTGGGGGGCTTTGTTACTATGCTAGACACCTTCCTTGCATCACCCCCATGGAATCCTCACAAGAACTCAGTTAAGGTAACTACCTGTCCCATTTAGGGATGCGGGGGTCAAAGCACACAGGTATGAGAAGACTGGATGCAACAGTGGAGTTGGGATTTGCTGATCGGGGTCCCAGCAGTGCCCTCACAGCCTCTGTTGTCTTCGTATCCCCAGATCCTTGTACACTGCCTGGAACATAGGAAACTCGGTAAATGATTAAGTGAATAATTGAATAAGAAAATACAGTTTAAGTGTTGTAGCCGAATTTTGAGATTAACATCTTGACTGGCTTCTATCTTATTGGCACATGCTTACTGAGTGAGTATTAGAGAAGAAATATCAGCTTTACACCGTGGCAGTATCATAGCCAATGAGGCTTACCCGAGGCATGATTATTTCTAATTGAAAAATAAATAAATAAATAAATAAATAAATAAATAAATAAATAAATAAATAAAATAAAATAAAATAAAGAAGAAATTTAATTGGGTGTGTATCTGGTGAAAATCTTATCAATTTTATTTCAAAATAGTTCCCCCGCTACATATGTTGTCATTGAGTTTTTTAGAGAGAGAGGAAGGGAGAGAGAGAAATATTGATGTGAAAGAGAAACATCGATCAGCTGCCTCTGCAAGCCCTGTACTGGGGACTGAGCCCGCAGCCCGGGCATGTGCCCTGACCAGGAATCCAACTGGGACTTCTCAGTCCATGGGACGCTGCTCAATCTACTGAGCTACACCAGCCGGGTTCAAAGCAGTTCTGTACCTAACACAGAGAGGGTATTCTGGGTCTAAAGTCGCAGAGATAGCCAAATGACTGTCACTTGTGACCCAGCCAACCCACCAGAAGCACCGTGGGCTTGAGGACAGTAGCCTGGACTAAGGTCATCTGCCAGCTCTTGTCCCACCCAGTAAGTAGTGCCTTGGCACACACTCACGTTCAAAGGCCTTCATTAGCCAAGTATAGCTAAAACGCTTAGTGTGACATTTAAGTAATGCTAGCTTTCTTTATCCTTGAAATCTAAAGTGGTGATTGTCTATCAAGAATGTTCTTTGGGGTATCAGGACTATGAGCCTGGAATAAGCCTGATGTAATGACCTGGAGAAGCTTCTTGTTGTCATTGAAAGCCATGGGTAGGGGAGATTGTGAATCCTGCAAACCTTACTAGGAGTAGCAGGGGGAGGCAGGCAAAAGAATATTGGCATCTGAAGAGAATTATCTGGGGTCACCCAGTCTAGCCATTTAGCTTTATATATGAGGTAAGGAGTTGGATAGCCTAGCATTTCTCATTCTTAAATATGAATTTCTAGGTTCCATCCTATCTAGTAACTTCTAACCAGAGAGATCTCTTACTTCTCTACATGCACCCCCACACTCCCACACCCATCCACCCACCCACCCGCACCTCACACTTACGGTCCCAATTTCCTCCTAGTCACACATGCAGAAAAAGGTTCTGTTATCCGCATCACTCAGAACAGGTCTGTTGCCATAGGCAAATAAAACGAGTGAAGTCATTGCCAGTGCACTCTGATGTGCAGTGAAGCAGGTGTTCATGACCTTTCTCTGGTTTTCAAATGCTCAGTCCACAGCCTTCTTTAGGTCTGCTTTCCTGCAGGCAGTCGGCCTTAAGCATGCTAACTCTTCAAGAATGCTAATTCTTTTCTTTTTTCTGTATTGATTTTTTTTGTTTTAGAGAGAGACAGAGAGTGTTAGAAACATTGATGAGAGAGAACATTGATTGGCCGCCTCCTGCATGCCCCCCACTGGGGATCAGGCTCACAACCTGGGCATGTGCCCTGACTGGGAATTGAACCCGTAATCTCTTGGTGCATGGGTCGATGCCCAACCACTGAGCCACACAGCTGGGCAAGAATGCTAATTCTGCCCTGGCCGGTTTGGCTCAGCGGTTAGAGCATCAGCCTGCGGTCCTGAGAGACCCGGGTTCGGTTCCCGCTAAGGGCATGTACCTTGGTTGCAGTTTGTCCCCGGCCCTGGTCGGTTGTGCGGGTGGCAGCCACTCGATGTGTCCCTTTCACATCGATGTTTCTCTCTCTCTCTCTCTTCCTCTCTCTCCCTCCCACTCTACCTGAACAACAAAAAAAAAATGTCCTCGGGTGAGGATAAAAAAATAAAAATAAAAAAAAAATAAAAAAGAATGCTAATTCTTTTTTTTATCCTCACCCGAGGACATTTTTCCATTTTTTGTTCAGGTAGAGTGGGAGGGAGAGAGAGGAACAGAGGGGGAGAGAGAGAAACATCGACGTGAAAGGGACACATCGAGTGGCTGCCACCCGCACAGTCGACCAGGGCCGGGGACAAACTGCAACCAAGGTACACGCCCTTAGTGGGAACCGAACCCGGGTCTATCAGGACCGCAGGCTGACGCTCTAACCGCTGAGCCAAACCGGCCAGGGCAAGAATGCTAATTCTTTATATTCCACAGATATTGTCCCCATGATATCTTTCTAGCATATATAAATTTCTACATTTTTTTTAAGCAGGGAGACAAGTGTTTGGTTTTTTTCTCAGTGGGAGGGAAAAGTGATGGTTCTTTCTTTTGGTGAGCACTTTCCAGACCCTGCTCAACCAGATTTGGTAATATAAGGAAGAAAGCAGGGTTTTGCCACACCTCATATTTTGGGGTAGCCATGTCAACCATGACTGTACATTGGAACCCTCATGTTTGGGAGGGGCACTTAAAAAAATACTAATGCCTACACCATACCCCCAGAGGTTCTTGTTAGTCTGGGGCATAGTCTGGGCATTAGGGTTTTTTAAGCTTCTAGATGATTCTAATGTGCAACCAAAGCTGTTGAACCACTGGTATAGAATAAAGTTGAATAAGCAGGCCATTTGAATCTTTAGATAGGAAGGATGTCTGTTGTTTTCCCATTTTATAAATGTAAAACAACTGCCCTTTTTTTGCCCTTCTACCTACCTTGCTGGAAGAACATGTCCTGATTGGAAAGAGACTTGATTTAAATGAAAGGGTAAAACCGTGCCCATGGACATTCAGCAGTTCCCTCATTCAGTAAGTACCTGCTTTAGAAGAGTAGACATTGATGTTTGGTTCCTCTGAGAAGCATCTGTAGTATAAACCACCTATTTCCAGGCAGCTAGACAGGAGCACCAGGGCTCCACAGTAACCATGCGGTTTTACCAGGTCATGAGCAATTAATGTTTTCACTTCTTAAAATTTTTTATCTATAGAACTTAAAATTAGAAATGAGGAAATTAGGGACTTTGAGGGGGTTTCTCCCAAGATATAGGGCCAAGTTAGTATGGAGGACTTCCACTTAGGAGTTCTGTATTTGAGGGTTTTTAAAAATGACACTTATATCAGAAATCAGGAGAAAAAAACACATGGTGTTTTGTTTTGTGTTTTCTTCTGTGCTTGTTGCTACCAGGCTTATTGCATCAGTGTTTGAAGGAAGTAGAAAGGAATTTATCTGTGTCTTTAAACCCCCCAAAGTAGGATCATTAAGGTTAGACAGGGTCTTTCTTATCTCCTCTCCTACATGTTTTCTTGTTTGTTTTTGTTTTTAATCCTCACCTGAGGATATTTTTCCATTAATTTTCAGATAGAGAGGGATGGAGGGAGGGAGGGAGGGAGGGAGGGAGAGAGAGAGAGAAATATCAATGGGAGAGAGACACTTTGATTGGCTTTCTCTCAAATGACCTTGAACAGGGCTGGGCATGAACTGCAACCCAAGGTATGTATCCTTGACCAGAACTGAACCTGAGACTTTTTGGTCCAGGGGTTTACTCTCTAAGTGAGTGCTGAGCCAAAACGGCCAGGGCTTGTTTTTGTTTTTACTTACTCCCTGTTTCGGTTGTAGCTCTAAGGCTCAGTTCTGTCATTGCCCAGAATTGTTATTCTCTTCTGTTTTTTGTTGATTGCTTATGAAAATGCTTATTATAATACCTCTGAGAATTTCTTTGCCTTCTAGGAAAATGTAATTGCTGTAATGCTATTTTAAAGAGAAGTGTGTGTGTGTGTGTGTGTGTAATTAAGAAGCAAAATCATCCAGAGTAAATGATTAGTATAGGAGGTTCTTGACATAGCTTTTTAAAGTGTTAATACCTTCAGAAAAGGCTCAACTTAGGACAGGTTTGCATGTGTGAACTGAGGACTTTGGGCTAATTTCTTTGTAAATAACTTTACCTTTGGGGTTAATGCTGATTTGGTTTATATCTTTATATAAATGCAGGCTTAGTGTTTTTCAGGAAACCTACAACCAAAAGGGATAGAAAGTGTTCTGTTTCTTTCTTACCCTGTTGAGAGACTGTTGAATTTCTCTCCAAGTTGCCTCTCATTGAGTTTTTTTTTTTTAATCCTCACTGGAGGATATTTTTCTATTTATCTTCAGATAGAGTGGGATGGTGGTGGTGGGGGGGAGAGAGAAAGAAACATCGACATGAGAAGGATACATCGATAGGTTGCCTACCCCAGGGCCGGGCCGGGGATGAACCACAACCGAGGTATGTGCCCTTGGCTAGAATCGAACCCGCGACTCATTGGTCTGCAGGTCAACGCTCTAACCACTGAACCAAACCAGACAGGGCGCCTCTCATTGAGTTTTGTCCTCTGAGCTTGTAGAGTAGGCAGCCATGTGTCTGCCTATATAAAAGGATTCACTGTATTAGCAGTTTGGTTCTTAGAAACCATCCCATAGTGCTTTTTAAAAAATATCTGAGTTGAAGATTCTGGAATTCCAGGTGGCAAAGTGAATTTGAATAGAAAGTTTTCATGGTTATAGAATCAACATGAATCCAAAAGTATTGGTGAAAGAGATTTTAATTTTTTTCTTTATTGACGTTAGAGAGAGAGGGGAATGGAGAGGGAGAGATAGAAACATCGATGAGAGCGATAATCAATTGTCCACCTCCTGCATGCCCCCCACCGGAGATCAGGCCCACAACTTGGGCATGTGTCCTGACCGGAAATCGAACCAGCGACCTCTTGGTGTATGAGTCGACGCTCAGCCACTGAACCACACCGGCTGGGTGGTGAAAGAGATTTTAATATTCTGAAAAAATAGTACAGTGGGTGCAGGTACTCATACGTAATATTATAAGCCCTTAAGAATAAAGAGAATAAGAAAGGAGACCCCGGCAAAAATGTTTGGAAGTTGGAAACATTTGTGATAAAGGACTTAACAGACCCCCACAAAAACTGATTGCTAAGGTGGCAGCAGGGAAAGCCATCAACCACCCTAATTTATACCCCAGAATCTTCCAGAAGCTCAGGAATTAGCAATACTAAATACTTTTGGAGCTAAAAATAAAGGTGGCAACTTAGATAACAGTTGGTTGAAAGCTATATATGAAAAGCAATCAGATGCCCAGATCTCTTCCCCATGTTGACAAAGGACTAGAGATAATATTCAGAGATGGTAAAACAGGGTCCCTCAACTGGGGTCACCTGGCTTGGTTTAGGTGTCCTCAGTTCCAGGATGCTTGTAGCCAAGACTGTACAATCTGACAGGACATTGGAATAGACTTCTCTGGGGTGTGGGACCAGACCAAGAGGACAGACCCAACGATACTGATGCTGGAAGTTTCTAAACCAGACTTCTGGCCAGACCACCCTAGGACGAAGAACCTTAGTCTACACCCTTTCAGTTAGCTGATATTAGCAGATGACCAAGGATCACTGTGCTCTAGGGACTGAAACAAACAAGAAGCAGCAAATTGGAAGAAATAGACTATGCTGGGAGAAGAATATTAAAACAACAATAATATATATTCTCAAGGGTAAGAGAAAAAGGATAGCAAATATGAAACAATATATTGTAAGAAATGAACACTCAGAAAATAAAAAACACTCTGACATTAAAGATATACTAGCAGAAATGATCATTAAAAGAAGGACTGGGTAAAATTGAGGAAATTGGTAGAGTAGCAAAATGGTTAGGTATGGTCAACACAGTGGTAAAAATAGACCCCCTGGCAAGGCACCATTATGAAATTTTCTGAACAAAGAAAGTTCTTTACACTTCCAGAAAGACATTACTGATCGCCTCTGACAAAGATCAGAGATTGGGATGGCTTTGCATTTAACAGGCACTGTGGAATCTAGAACCAGAAAGACATTACTGATTGCCTCTGACAAAGATCAGGGATTGGAATGGCTTTGCATTTAACAGGCACTGTGGAATCTAGAAGGCACCTTGATTATTTTAAAGGAAAATCATTTCCAGCCTAGAATTCTATAAACCCAACCAATTATGAGTCAAGTGAAGAAGAATAAAAGTAATCAGAAGCCCTGACTGGTTTTCTCAGTGGTTAGAGCACCGTCGGCCTGAAGACCAAAGATTCTTGGGTTTGATTCTGGTCAAGGGCACGCACCCCAGTTCAGTTTGGGTTGTTCCCCAGCCCTGGTTGGGGTTGTGTGAGAGGCAACCAGTTGATGTGTCTCTCTCACATCGATGTCTCTCCCTCCCTCCCACTCTATCTGAAGATAAATGGAAGAATATCCTCAGGTGAGGATTTAAAAAAAACAATCAGATATATAAGGTTTCAAAATCACTTCCCATTTCCCCTTCTTAGGAAGCTACTTTAAGGATGTGCTCCATTAAGGGAGAAATTGAACTTGGGAAAACTGAGGTTCATTACTGTAAAGAGATGGAAAGTCTCTCCAGGATACTGAGGAAGGGAGACCTGAGGGTAGGATCTGCATGCAGGCACCAAGGAGAGAGAGCCAGTCCCATTGGAGCGGGGCAGAAGGCTCTGGACCATCTCTGGAGGATGAAGCTGAGAGAATACCCGATGCCTGTGAATGTCTGAAGTGGAAATGCAGTGGTGAATGGCTGGTGTTGGGACACTCATTACTCCATATGAAACTCGGCAAACAGAAAAACAAGACAGTCACTTGGGGGAAAGATACGCAGGAAAGGAAGGAAAAGTAATCATAACTTTCACATTTCTCGGCTATGAATAGCATCTATAGGATCATCATCATGTAAATACTAAAGACTGTCCTAACCACAATGATCATATATGACTGTTGGAAGACTGGAGGACGGAAATGGTATGTGTGTGGTGGGCGGGGAGGACAGGGAGGGAAACCCTCCTCTCCCGTGGTGGAAGTCAGCAGGTGAGACCTAAAACGGAAGCATCACGATGAGCTCCGTAGGCTGATAAAGTAGTTGGCTAACCGAAGTGAGCCTAGTTCCTTTAGAGAATGAGGTCTGGGAGAAGGGTGCTGTTTTTATCATTACATTGTGGAGTTTTTGACTGTACCCTGCATGCATATACAATGTAATAATAAAAAGAATAGAAACACTGGTTTTAGTATCATCTGGTTAACCTTTTTTTCCCTTTATTGATAAAAAAAATTTTTTTCTTTATTGATTTTAGAGAGAGAGGAAGGGAGAGGGAGAGAGAGATAGAAACATCCATTAGAGAGAACATCGATTGGCTGCCTCCTGCATGCCCCCCATTGGGGATTGGGCCCACAACCTGGGCGTGTGCCCTGACCAGGAATCGAACCGGCGACCTCTTGGTGCAGGGGTCGATGCTCAATCATTGAGCCACACTGGCCAGGCTGGTTAACATTTTTATTGACAGGTTCAAATTTGTAGCTGTGGTGAAGAGCTGGTCCAGAGTCCGGCTTCACACAAAATGATGTCTAAGAGAAAAACTTCTTTGGTAGTCATCTGAGAATTGCAGAATTGATCACACGTACCAGTCTGAGTTGCCTCTTTTTCTTACTCTCTAGATTATCCTCTTGACTTGAACCACAGTGAAACCTTCCTACAAACCACAACTTTTCTTCCTGAAGACTTCACCTACTTTGCAAATCACACCTGTCCAGAAAGGCTCCCTTCCATGAGTGAGTAGAGCTCTCGCGTATCTTCCTCTACTTTGGAAACTGCTGTCTTTTTATTTGATTAAAATAAGAGGGCAAGTGTTCACGTTCCCTCGGCGTGTCTACCTACGTAGAGACCGGAAGCGCCTCCCTGTCGTTGGAAACGGCTGTGAAAGTTACTTGTGTCCTGACTTCCTCAGCCCCCCGCGAAGTTGCCTGTGTTCTTGGTGCCATTTTCTACACTTTTCCCGGTTTCCTTTGCACATACACCCTCATTTGTAACTTGGGGTCTGTTAGGACATCCTAGAGAAAGTACAGGCAACCAATTTCATCTTTTTGTATAAATCTTAACATATTATAACTCGTTTGATATGAAGTTATTTTCTTAACAAAGTACTAGTTGAAAAAAATTCTTGGATCTTCTTGCCTTCTTTCTTGGAATCCTGCGGAATCTAAAGCAGCAACAAAAAGTGTAAAGTATTACACCTTTTCTGTATCATAGTTCTGCTTCTTGACTTAGCGAGAGATGAGTTTGGACGTGACCAGTCGGGGTCACTGATGAAGTAATTGGGACAGTGCGTCTGTGCTCGCCTCGGGAGCATGGAGAGATGGCTCCACGCTCGGCGGCCTTTCTCCTTCCTCTGAGAAGTTCAGCTGCTGTTTGCTTGATTTTAACTTCTCTTTACACCCGAGGCAGAAGCAGAACTCTAGTTTCTTGATTTGTTGCAGTAATAGTGATGACCTAAAATGCAGGGAGTTGGAAAAAGTATTGAACTTCTCCAGAGAGTAAAAACTCTGGACCTAAGGGAAAGAGTATACCATTTTCCAGCCTCTTAAGTTTTTTTCTCTCTCTCTGTTCAGAGGGCCCAATAGACATAAACATGAGTGAAATCGGAATGGATACCATTCATGAACTCTTCTCCAGAGACCCAGCCATCAAGCCTGGAGGTCACTGGGCACCTTCCGATTGTGTACCCCGATGGAAGGTAGGGTGTGGAGTCAGACCTGAAGCGCTGGGAAACCCACCTGGGACTTGCCATTGGTTCAGATCGCCACGGGATTCACTGACTGTGACATTTTGTAATTTGCTTCTTCCTGCTACTGATGAAAAGTATTTGCATTTGATGGCAATATTTTGGAGGAATGGGTTTCTCCTAAGGACTCTTATGTAGCCAGAAGTTTGCATTATCCCAGTGACTGAGCAGGACCCTTTTGTCTTCCTTGTAGGACTATTGACTAAGTAGGGAGGAGTGTTGGTAGGTCTCTTGTGACACATTTACAGAAGCCACCTCACAACTTCAGTGCTTCATGCCTTAGTCGCCATTGTTACTATGAGTTTAGTGGAGTAAAGACGAGATAGCTCACCTGACATAGAATATTCTCGCTTACTCTGTGCCGGCCCTGTGAGATGGTCATGGTGCAGCAATGATCAGAGCAGGTCTGGAACAGATGAGTGTTTCCAGCCCATTGCTAGAATGTAAAATCAATTTAATGACCATCATTAAATAAATATGTCTGTGTTAAAGTGCTTTGCCTGTTGTAAGGGGAAGTACTGTTTTATGAAGCATGTTTTATGGATGTATCCATGTACTGGGTCACTGTGTAGAATATATGTCTTCCTTGGGGCTGGGGTCTAGAATGAATTCATTCAGCATGCCCCCTGTGTGCATAGTACGGTGTGTGTAACAACGGGGTCCACTTAATTCCGAGGGGTCGACTTGCCAGAGTAGTACTTCCTTTAGAGGAAGTTGAGGACCAGACAGTACCCTGGCCGTACTCCCCAAGAGCTGGTCACTGATTCTCAGAAGTTGAGGGGACTAACAGGGCAGCCTCTTTTGCTGTGACCCTCTCCAGGTGGCAATCCTTATCCCCTTCCGGAACCGCCACGAGCACCTTCCTGTCCTGCTCAGACACCTGATTCCCATGCTTCAGCGCCAGCGCCTGCGGTTTGCATTTTATGTAATTGAGCAAGTGAGTGGTCGGTCCTTTTTTCCTATCCTTTCTCTACTGGGGCAGAAGTTTAGAGTGCTTCAAGCTAATCCATCTTCGGTGTGAAGAGCGTAAAACTGTAATCTTGTGATTGAGTCACCCTGAGTTGGGAGAGGGAACAGAGAGCAATTCTTTGCTGCTCGTTGAAATGTTGCTAAATCAATACCACAGATTGAGTCCAGGGTGGAACTTTGTTTACCCTTGAACAAAGGCCTCTTTTATGGTGGTTATGCTAGAGTTGTTGCTTTGGGTGGTGTCTTCAGACTCCGGAAATTCTCCTTATGATAAGGAGCTGCACCTTCCCTTTATGGGGCTAGATAATCTAAATGTTGTCTGCCTTTAAAACAGCCTTGGGAGAGAGAAGCTTGGGTTTGTCATTGTCACCCCTTTATTTCTCAGGAAATCGAGGCCAGAGGTCAGGTGGTTTGTGAGACAGTGATGAGTGGTGCCGGACCCGTCTGACTTTTGGCCCAGGGATATTTCCCAGTCGGTTTCAGTAAGCTGTTCTTTAGGCAGGGCTGAGGCTGCAGCGACTTTGCTTCAGGAGTCCGTTTAAAAATAAGTTCTGCTTCTTTTAGGTTGGCACCCAACCCTTTAATCGAGCCATGCTTTTCAATGTCGGTTTTCAAGAAGCAATGAAGGACTTGGACTGGGACTGTCTTATTTTTCATGATGTGGATCACATACCAGAAAGTGATCGTAACTACTATGGATGCGGGCAGATGCCAAGGCATTTTGCAACTAAATTGGATAAGTATATGTATCTGTGAGTATCATTTCCTCTTAATTAAAGCTAAAAGGATGGTGAGAGATGCAAAGATGGCAAATCTAATTAGCTCCAACCCAAATGTCCATCAACTGATGAATTAAACAAAATGTAGTAGATCCTCACAGTGGAATACTATTTGTCAATATAAAGGAGCAAAGTACTGATATATGCAGCAACATGGATGAACCTTGAAAACATGCTGAGTGAAAAAAACGAGTTTATAAAAGATAACAGGTATATGATTTCATTTATATGAAATATCCAGAAGAGGCAAATCTATAGAAACAGAAAGAATAGTGGTTGCATGGTGGGGATTAGGGGAATAGAGTACCTGCTAATGAGTGCAAGGCTTCTTCTGTTGAGGGTAATGAAATGTATTACAATTGATTGTGGTCATGGTTGCACAGCCCTGTGAATATACTAAACATCACTGAATTATGCACTTGAAATGGGTGAATTATGTGACATGTCAGTATGTCTCAGTAAAGCTGTTGTGAAAAATGTTCAATGAGCTACTCCGGTTGATGCATCTGAGCATGAGGAAACAGTTCCAGATGGTTCAAGGCAGCAGCACAGACAACGTTGTTTTACTTAAGACAGTTCTCCAGTGAGATGGCCTTCTGGGGAAGAGTCACCCTTTCAGCACAGATGCCTGATGCTCCACATCTCCCTTTAGGCTCCCTTATACCGAGTTCTTCGGCGGAGTGAGCGGCTTAACAGTGGAACAGTTTCGGAAAATCAATGGCTTTCCTAATGCTTTCTGGGGTTGGGGTGGAGAAGATGACGACCTGTGGAACAGGTACTGCCCTTTTTCCAGTGTCTTCTAGAAATGCTCCTTTAGACTCTCCAGACCAGTGCTGTGCAATACGAATATAACATGAGCCATGTATTTTAAAACGTCTAGTAGCCACATTTCAAACGGCTAAAAAAGAAAAAAGAGGTCAAATTAATTTTAATATGGTGATAAAATCTTAACAATGTATTTATCACAGTGTATCCAAATAATATCAGTTCAACATGTAATCAATATAAAATGTTAATGAAATATTTTACATTCCTTTTTTCTTACTAAATCTTTGGAATCTGATGTGTGTTTTCCATTCATAGCACATTTCACTGAAACCTCCCCAAACCAGAGGTCGAATGTTAGTGATGTGCACACAAATTTATCCGTGCTGTCAGCTAAGGCTTCTGTTATATAAGTTTGTGTGAACAGTGCTGTGAGTAGTATAGTAACTTAATAAGTAATGAAGAAGCAAAAAGTTGCCGCCTTGTATCTGATTACTTTTAGCTTGGCTTTTAAAAAGAAAGTATGTGTTGGCTGTTAATTACAAAGTAATATTTGTTGGTAAAAACTCATGATACAGCTCTGGCCAGTTTGGCTCAGCGGTTAGAGCCTGGGACTGCGGATCAATGAGTCACGGGGCACGTACCTTGGTTGCAGTTCATCCCCCACCCTGGTCAGGTTGTGCGGGAGGCAACCAGTCGATGTGGCTCTATTACATTGGTGTTTCTCTGTCTCTCTCTCTCCCTCCCTTCCACTCTAGCTGATAATAAGTAGAAAAATATCCTCTGGTGAGGAAAAAAAATTTTTGAAAAACCTCATATGATAGAAAAGTACATAAAGCAAAGGGTGTAAGTTTTAATGTCCATTGCCGTCCTCGTTCATTCCCAAGAAGTAGCCATTTTAACAAGCTATTTCTTTCTAGACTTCTTTCTGTTCATCTACAAGCAACTCAGACACATCCCTTCCCCCCTCCCACCATGTTAATAATAGTGAGAACTGTTTTCTTTCTCTTTTTTTTCCAATCCTCACCCGAGGATATTTTTCTATTTATCTTAAGATAGAATGGGAGGGAGGGAGAGAGAAACATCAACAGGAGAGGGACACATCAACTGGTTGTCTCCTGCACGACCCTGACCAGGGCCTGGGATGAACCGCAACTGAGGTACGTGCCCTTGACTGGAATTGAACCCGAGACTCATTGGTCCTCAGGCCGATGCTCTAACAGCTGAACCAAATCGGCCAGGGCTGCTTCATTATTTTTAATAATTGCATAGTATTCCTTTATGGACTTACAAAATAATTTATTTTAATCCTCTCCTGTTGTCATTTACAATTTTGGACACCCTTTGTTCACATGTTCAAATATTTCTTTAGATGAAATTCCTAGTTGTGAGACTATAGAGTCAAAAAATAAATGCACTTTAAATTTTGAGAGTTGTTGCCAAATTTTCCTTCAAAAAAGATTCTAACCAATGGTGCATTAGGGTGCCCATTTTCTTACACCATTGCCAACAATGGAAATAAACGTTTTAAATTTTGGCCACATTTTAGCTCTTAAATAGCCACATTTATCTTCAGACAGAGTGGGAGGGGGAGATAAACATCGATTGGTTGCCACCTGCATGACCCCAACTGGGACCGGGGACTAACCACAACTGAAGTACATGCCCTTGACTGGAATCAAACCCAGGACTCTCTGATCCGCAGGCCAATGCTCTAACCACTGAGAAAACCGGCCAGGGTTCATACTTTTATTTTGAAATTACAAAGATATCTAGCTAGCTTCATTGAGGTATAGTTGACATACAATAAATTGCACATATATAAGGTGTATAATTTGATAAATTTCGACACATGTACACACTTGAAGTGAAAACATTATTACTTCAATATAATGAACATATCCATCACCTCCAAAAGTTTCCTTGTGCTCCTTGGTAATCCCTCCTTTCCTGTGTTCCCTGTCTTCCCATCCTCAAGCAATCACTCATCTGCTTTCTGTTACTTTAGATTTGTTTGCATTCTCTAGTTTTATAGAAAGGGAATTATACAGCATGTTCTCTCTATTGTCTGACTTCCTTCACTCACCATCATTGTTTTCGGTTAATCCGTATCAATTTTTGTGGTATCTACATGTCATTCACAGGATTTTATATATAAATGTTTTTGCGTTTTACACTTTTAACTTGAGTTTCTTAGGGACCTAGGGAGCTTTTCCATACATTTAACTGGTCTGACCGTCCTTGAATCCAGTTGATCTCTCCCAGAACATCTGTCATTATTTTTGTCCCTTTCTGTCTCCCCAGCTTGGGCGAGGTGAGCAGGGGCAGTTTAGGTTCAGGAACTGTGGCTGGATTCCCCCCAGCACCCTGCACGATTCCAGGCACACAGTAGGCATCCGTGTGTACTTATCAAATGAGAGTATAATTTGGAGGCAGGAGGATATCAAAATAATATGAAAATGACCATAAAATTTACATAGACTCCAAAGCCTATTAATGATTCTTAGAGCCCTTTTACGTTTCCAGTAAACCCAGCTTGGGAGATCTTATCTTTAACATGTTAGGATAATATCCTGAACACCTTCCCTCAATTCTGCCTCCCTCTTGGTGACTGTTCACAGATGGTGACACTTTACATCTAGATTGTCATGTAAATTTGTTCACCTCCGTAGTGACGAGGGAGGTGAGTGGGGAGACACGATTTCTCCCGAAATAGGGAAAACGCAGAGCAACTCTGACTTTGCCGACTTGCTTTATGGTAGCTCGTCGGAGGGAAAGGTGCCGTCCACCCACGAGAGAGATTCTGACAGGACCCAAGCAAGCTGGCCAGAGGGAGTGGGTGCGCACTCGTCCGCCAGGGACCCCACTGATGGACCTGCCCTGAGAACCCGTGTCAGACCTTACCCTCAGGAATTTTGAATTCCATTTTGACTTTTTTTTTTTCCCCAAAAATTTTTTGTATTGTAGGTTTCTTTTCTAAAACCATGAACTTTTCCAGAGAGTTTAGGCAATTTTGTTATTGTTGTTAATCCTTCCCCGAGGATATTTTTCCCATTGATTTTTAGGTAGAGTAGAAGGGAGGTAGGGAAGAAAGGTGTGTGTGTGAGAGAGAGAGAGAGAGAGAGAGAGAAACATGGATGTGAGAGAGACGCATCAGTTGGTTGCCTCCCTCATAACCCTGCCTGGGGCTGGGGATTGAACCTGCAACCCAGGTATGTGCCCTTGACTGGGAATCAAACCCATGACCTTCTGGTACACAGGCCAGCGCTCTAACCACTGAACCAAACCATTCAGAGCTAGGCAATTTTAATACTTAGATGCAGAGGAAGTTCTGTTGTTCAACTTGGGGTTTCTCAACCTCGACCAAGCATTGGTCACCTATAGGACTGGATCGCTTTGTTTAAAAGCCACTCTCCTTGTCTCGGACAGAGTACAGAACGCAGGCTATTCTGTGAGCCGGCCGGAAGGGGACACAGGGAAGTACAAGTCCATTCCTCATCACCATCGAGGAGAAGTCCAGTTTCTTGGAAGGTTGGTGCCATTTATTTATTTTCCTTACAAATATCCTCTAGACTTTGCATTTCCAGATGTCCCAGAGCATATTACAACCCCCGTCTTACCCCCCGGCCTCTCTCCAAGGTCCTGTTCTGACAGCTGTTTTATAGTTTATTTTAACTATGAGGCAGACATTTAGGGTGAAATCAGACTATTGGTGAAAATGTTGATTGTAAGATCTTTTAAGGAAATCACTCATTCTACACCGTAAGCTATATAATTAATCTCTGTAGCCTTCAGAGAGTTGGAGAAAAGTCCACTTGGGTAAAGGTCTCTGTGACTGACACTGATGTGACAGAGCTGAGTTGGCACCCTTTCTGCAAGTCCCGGCTCTGGAGGGGTGGCCCTGAGCTGCTGTTCATGTGGTTGCAGTTGCTTTACTATCTCTCAGCTTTCAATAAATAAATCCTAGGTTGGACTCTTGGGGCGTATGAACGGAGTGACATCTCTGCATTTTCAAGGGTTAGTTGTTAACTGCGGGAGAGGACGGGTCTCTGGAGGGCCCATTCTGATTGTATGAACTCTGTCTTCATGGGAGTAACAGGGCACTGAATACAACTGAACTTTCCCATCTGATGTTATCAGGATCTTACCTCCCACTTCCTCACTCTGTGACCTTGGGCAAGTCATTTAATATCATGAGCCTTGGTTTCCTCATTTGCTTAAGGGGTGGGTACATTAAATGAAATTTGTAATAAGTAAAGCACCTGGCATGAAATAGGAGGTGATTCTAATAATAGCAGCATTTAGCATGGAGTAGCTGAATGGCTGGTCACCCACCATGTGTCCTCTCCTGTGGTCTGCTCTGCTCCGGGGTCTGTCCTGAGGAGGTTGACCCTTCTCAGAGCCCCCTCTGTTCTCTGCATCGACAGGTACGCTCTGCTGAGGAGGTCCAAAGAGCGGCAAGGGCTGGACGGTCTCAACAACTTGAACTACTTTGCAAACATCACATATGACGCCTTGTATAAAAACATTACCGTCAACTTGACACCCGAGCTGGCTCAGGTGACCGAGTACTGAGACAAGGAGACGATGTACGTTTGCTTCACCCCCCACCACCAGAAAGCGGCCTGATGAGATGTCTTGGGGCTCTACATGGGAAGAGAGTTAGAAGTTCAGTGTCTAATGAAGGATCACAGGGTTCGAGGGAAATGTGAACAGAGTACACGCACAAAACGCCCTCACTGTTCGGACCCCCTGGGACTGAGGGATGAGCTCGGGAGCCGCCTTCATCAGGACCAGCTTTCTGTTTTCACGAGACAGACGTCTGTCCTGCTGCCCTTCTCCCCGTCTCCTGCCCCACGTCCCGTCTCAGCCGCAGTCTCCAGAACCGGAACTGGGGTCCGCCATGGGCTTGCCCCAGAGCCTGTCCTGCGAATGGCCTTTGGAGCTTCTTGGCCTTCAGAGCAAAGAGCCAAACCCACCACAGGGCAGCTGTGTTTTAGGAAGAGCAAATGAAACTCCACACACCATTCTCCATCTCTGGTGTTCTCTTTGGTTTCATTTTTTAAAAAATTACCTGCTTTGGGTGGGGATTGAGGGTGGAGGGGAGGGATTGGGGAAGATGAATAGACATGTAACAATCACTTCTTGAAGAAGTATAATTGTAAATAAGCCATGTAAAATGCCTTTTTTAAATTTAATTTTATAGCTGGCTTCAATTCAGACTGAGGATTTATATTATTAGATCACTTATTTGGTTGGCAAATTCAGGAACTCAGTTAAAATGCAGTGAAAGAGTAGATCTCCCAACTTGCTGTCATTTTGGAAGGGAGTGGATTTAGGGTATGTCGCAAAAGAACAAAATAGTCCAATCTCCATACTGGTAACTAACCTCTGCCCCCACTGTCCCCTTCTCCCGAGGTCTGGCCTTGACGGTTGCTCTGGACCCCCTGCTGGGCAAGGTGTGCTCCTCCGGTCTTGCGGGTGCTTCTCCCTGCTCAGAGCAGACCCTCAGGGGAGGGCTGCCTGGCACACCCATGGTTCCTGGGCTTTGTTTTGTCCTTTCATCTCATAAGAGAGAGGTGTGTGGTGTCTGTCCTTCTCTCTCTCTCTCTTTTAAATTTTTTTTTCTCTTGTGGAACATGGTCACAGTTTCTGAAATCTGTGCCTAAATTACCGATTAGCTTCAGTGATTCCTCTGAATATTTCTCTTTTTGGTTTCTAGAAAGATTCTTTATCAATGTTATTAACTAGGACATGAAGCTAATGAGCAATCGAATGAAGAACTTGGCCGGGAGCAGGTGACACCTACCTGTGTGGGGGGCAGCTGGGATCCAGGTTAGATCCAACCAGGGCTTTGAAACGAGACTCACAAAGCCCCAGGGTGCGAGAGCCCACATGCTTGTTCATACCCCATGTGCTTTGGGGACTCAGATTCTAAATTCATTTGAATTTGTGCCTCTTTGTTTTTCCCCTGAGCCAAAGCCCTCTCGATTCATAGTCCCCGTGGACTTCTACAGAATTCTGAAAAATGCCAGTTTCCCCCCCACTCCTTTTCCATAAAACATATTTATATATCATGATTGGGAGTACTTTCTGAAGAGTGCTTTATATTTTTTTTAATTGCCTTGTTTGCCTTCAACTTCCTTAATTTTCATGGTTTACATGGATGTGTGTGTGCAGGGGTATATTTGTGTATACACGTGTGGGTTGGTTTTTTCCGTTGCATGTGCTGGTTCCATGGACATATGATCCCCACAAGCTGTGGGAGTGATTGGCCAGGCCTTGTTTTTGTTCTTTTGAAGAATAGAGTGGTATTTAGAAAACCAATTGCATTGTAAAGCTCTTATCGGCTCATATGAGAGAGCAGGCTGCTGCCCTTGAAAATGCTGGTAAGTTGTATCGTAAGTTTTCAAAGAATTTGAGAATTTCGTGCTTTAAAAGACCTTCATGAGGGGACATTACACAGTTCATTTGACTTTTCCTTTGATATATGGTGCATATAGCAATAAAGATTCCTTTCCCCTTTGTCCCCCTTATGCCCCCCCCCCAGCCCTGTGTGCTGGCCTTGTCGGTTCTCACCCCTCTTGTTCCCCTCCCTCTTTCGTCACTGAAGGCGGGGCTGCTCTCCCTGTGACAAAACTATGATGCCATTTAGAGGAATTGGCCAGGACAGACTGCTTGGTACGTGGCAGTTGTGAGGTGATCTTCTTTGAAGCTTTTTTATTAACATATTTACCACCAAGAACCAAATGTTGGTAAAAGGCTAACACCTGAGTTAAAAATGAAACTGCTGACTTGACAAAAAGGAAAAGGTCTCAAGAAGTAGGGTCACTTAAATTATTTCACAATCATGTGTAAGTTTGTATTAGTGTGAACTCTCTGTGTACTGTTAGTCATTTATTCGCCACATTGAGCATTGTATGGGAAACTAAAATGTTAAAAACGTACATCCAGGCCCAGAGTGCTGTTAATGGTGTGAAATTCTCATGTTTAGGGGGGAAAAAAAGAACAATAAGAACCAAATGTGACCTTGCGCATATTTTGGCAGCTGAAATTCTTTAAGGCTACTGATGGGTGTGCCCCTTAAATCATTCTTGTCTTTGATTATTGCTGTACAGGGAAAGTTTTCTCCTTTCACACTTTTTTGGGGGTGGGGTGCGGGGTTATTTGCAAAAAGATTCATTTTGACATTACAGGGACTCTTGTTCAAGCTCCTCTACCGCAAACATTAATTGCTGAGCAACAGCCACACGTATTGATTGTGCCCACTCACCATTGACGATGACATTGAACGTAGCTAGCTTATTTCCATCACGGTGTTTTTTTGAGCTGCTCTTATGTTTTAAGAGGTGCCAGGGGTACACTTTTGCACTGAAATCTACAGATGTTTTAAAAAACACTTTTCACAAAGATAGTCCTTTGTCATTGCATTATTTACTCATGTGTTTGTACATTTTTGTATGTTAATTTATGAATGATTTTTTCAGTAAAAAATACATATTCAAGAACCAAACCTTGGTGGTCGTCTCTCTTTGTCCAGGACAGTGGGGCTTCCTGGGGCCTCTCCCTTCTTGTGGGAGTTCAGCTCCTCCATGTGTCCCTTCAGGCTCTGGGCTTCCACTTTGCTCAGCCGAACACTGGGTGTGCCTGAGAGAAGTACTGCCCTCCCTACCCCTGCAGCCAGACCGGTGAGTGAAACACTTAGCTGATGTAGCAAAAGCACCAAACCCCACTGTGCTCTCCAGGCCTCCTGCCACACCCGGGTTTTCTTTCAGGAATCGGCCCACATGACGCCCAGGTCAAGTAAGACCCCTTGGCAAGGGGAGGGTGAGGTTCCTCTGGGACCAGTGCAGGGTTTGCCGTCTGCATGACTCTGCTCAGAGATTATAATCACATGAATGTTGACCACTCACTAATATTTAGTGAGTGTCAAGGTCTGTGCCCAGGTGCCAGGGATATGATGATGAGCTGGAAGGCAGGGTCAGTGTCGAGCCTACTGTCCCCCACACGCACCAAGGTTAAAGTTCCAGCCTCGATGAGTGCTATGAGACCATGAGGACTCCGCTGCGCTGCTGGCTTCCCCACCTGCGTGGACGGCAAGGTACTGGACTTGGCCCGGGTTCCCGGGGAAGATCATGAGATGGGTTGTGAGCGAATTAAGCTCGGGGGGGGGGGTTGAAACGACCAAGCAGAAATGGCGAGTAGGCAGGCCTGCGTGCTCCGGTTTGCTGGGACCAGGGTGGATTTGTGAACCAGGGATAAGTGAGATAGCTCGGGAGCATGGAGGCCAAGGGAAGTGGCCTTGGCCCGAGGCTCTGAGATCTCCATTTGGCAACAGCTGAGAAGATGAGTGAGCAGAGCAGACAGGGGGGGGGGGGGGGGGGGCAGGGTGGATCGGACGGGGAAGTCAAGGGAAGAGATGTTCAAGGGAGTCATCCGCAGCGAGGACGCAGCAAGGAGGGTGCACCGTGAGGAGTGCAAGCTGACGATCGGCAATGGAGAGGGTGTTGGTCAGGTGGCAAGAGCCATTCTGTTGACCTTGGGGATGCGGAGGGGGCGCACTGGAGTGGGCCAAGAAGGAAGGAAATGAGGCAGCAGTCAGTGCAGGCATCTCTTGAATTTCCTAAGAGGCAAACAGAGAACCGGAGGGGGGCGGGGAGAAAGAGAAGGAAACATCGACGTGAGAGAGACACATCAAGTGGTTGCCACCCACACGATCCCAACCGGGCTGAGGTACGTGCCCTTAGCGGGAACCGAACCCGGGACTCTCTGGTCTGCGGGCCGACGCTCTAACCGCTGAGCCAAACCGGCCAGGGCAAGGCTGGTGGTTTTGATCTTGGCTTTTCAACAGGAGAAACCTGTGGTCTTCAAGCAGAGGGAAGTGTCCAGCAGAGAAAGATAGCTGAGTACACAGGAGCCCAGGGACAACCCAGCAGGAGTGCTCCCGAACTAGTGACAGGAGACTAAAAACATGGAAAAGCCCAGGAGGAGCGCGGAAACTTCCATGCCCTTTCTGACGCACTCACAGACAGCCTGTGGACCCCCGGGCTGCTGTCCGAGACGCAGAGATCTGTCCCTGGAGTTCAAGTGGGCTGAGTTGACTCCAGGTACCACTACTTCCTCAAGCTCTTTTTGTGTTGTTGTTTTTTTAATTTGGGGAAGTTCAGTCATAAAAATAGTAATTCCCACTTATTGAGAGCTGGTTCTGGCCGGGGCTGTGCGGATTGAGTACATTGCACACAATTCTCAGCCCTGTGAGGTCGACATCGCCCCTTTTTCTAGAGCGCCGTTTCTCAACCTCAACCCTCGACATTTGGGGCTGGGTAATTCTCTGTGCAAGGAACAGGGAAGTTGCCATCCTGTGCAGTCTAGGGTGTTTAGTAGTAACACCCCCGCCTCCCCAGTTGTGACAACCAAAAATGTCAACAGACAGCCAGGGGACCCTGGGAAAAGCAAAATCCTCTGGTTCCTGCTCTCGGGCTGAGGCCCAGAAGCCACCACAGCAACTGCTTGCCTGAGGTCACAAAACACCCATAGAGGCGGCGGGCACGTGGACACCAAGTATTTTTTACCCCAAGGCAATGCTCTG